GAAAAGTTTAGGGAATTCCTACCTAGTGAGGATTCAGAACTCTTGAATTCTTTATGCATGGGTCCTGTTGAATAGTCCTTGAATGGCAGATACATAAGGTTCTAACACTTCACATGACTTTTTAGACATTCCAAGTTTAGATATTTTAAATTAAAGGCTCACACCAGCAAATTCTTTAAAATGCCAGACATTTTCCTTCTGTTAGTATCAGATCACAGCCATGAGACAATCGAAAAAGAATCCTTGTCTGTCCACGCCTTGCTTGACTCTACTCTGGCCCTAGTCTAGTTATCTTCTTGTCCCAGCTGCACAGTGGTTTCTGACTTAGACGATGCATGACTTACACGTGCATACTCAGTGGTATTCTTCTCATTGAACATGTCACCTGCCCGGTTCACTTGATTTCACAGCTGTGTATTGGTTTTCATCTTTGTCCATGTGAATCAGCTGCAGAGAGCACTGAGCAGGAACAAGTGATCCAACTACAACTCTTTGGCTAGGCTGATGTGCTTAAGGCTGTGCAAAAAACAGAAACAGCAGTGCTGAAGCTGCTAAAGGCTTTTCCAAAGCTACACAGGATGCCTAACAAGCATCTAACTCACAAAATTAAGTCGTTAGCATTCAACATTCCCCAAGGACAACACCTGGACACACCCAGTAAAAAGGGTGGTTCTTACCAGCTGATTGAACAGAGTTCTACAGTCCTCTAAACATTGTCCATTTCTGTAGCATTGCGCATTGACTTTGTAGCAACTGGATTCAGAGTTCAGGGTACTCCGCATCTCTCAAGTGGTTATACCCTTCCTCACACACTCCCTACAAAACCATGCTCTGCGTCTGGTCCAGAACAGGACGGCAGAACTTAGCCTAAAGCACTTCACACATCATATAGCCAGACATGTGCCGTACACTTCATCACAATCGCTTCCCCGAGCCCCATGAGTTTCAGCCACAAAGGAACACGTTTCTACAGCAAGCTTAAAAGAAAAAGGTTAAGAAGAAACATTGAGTTAAAAGTTTTATTCATTCAACATCTCACATTACAAATATTTAAAAATTATATGCATACTGGTATAAATAGTCATTTGCAAACTATTTAATAACATTAATTTTCACTAGCACTTCAACAAATGAACTCTTTAAAAAAAGTAACTTGTGTTATATAACTTAGAGTAGAACATACAAAAATATGAACTTAAACGTGAAAATGACTTTAATAAAAAATGAATTACCCTTATTTAAAATGCTATAATAAATACTACAACCTCCCCATACACAGTAAAAACTATATGGAAATTCAGCCAAGTAGTACAATTAACTGACATACTTAAATAACTTTTCCTTCTGATAATATGAGCAATACATTGGGGGAAAAACATATTAGGGATTAGTAAAAACTAGACACCCACTTGCTAAAAGTTTCACTTCCAAAAAATATAACAAAAAAATCTGATGAAAATTATAAAAACTAATTATACTTTAAAATTTAAAAATATAAAAAATAAAACAGTTGAATACAATATTGTCCCAATTCTTACAATGCTATCACAGTAGCTTTAAAATAAGATAATAAAATAAAGCAAATGACCAAAACCTTTTATTCCATTTTTTTTTAAAAATAATCTCAAATTTACATTAGTAGAAAGATTGATTTCTGATTCTTTTCTTTAGAAACACCAGCAAGAAAGAGGATTTACTAGAACAGTAGAAAATGACATTTTTAAATGTCTGCAATTAAAAACAAAGAATTACACTGCAAAGATCTTCCAGAAGTCTGAAATAGGTATTGCACATAACTTGAAGTTAACTTGCCACAATTCATCACATTCAAGTTTTAAATCACCTTTTAACAGAAGGTTTTAACTCTTCAAAAACACAAGGGGTGAATTATCAAGTCTTTCCAACAGCATCCTTAGAAAAACGCTAAATTCATTCACTGCAAGTTTTAAATTTGCATTCTGCAGAGGTCTGTGTATGGAGAAGTATATACTATACCAAAAAGCACGGGGCAGTGGGGTTCCTTTACATATAAAATAATCAGAAACACTTTATTTTACATTGCAAAAATAACCATGTAATTACTCTGTAACTACATTGTAAGTACATGGCCGGTGCCATGCTAGTGTGATAAAACTACATGCGTATTAACCCCTTTGCAAATTGAAGTGATACCGTAAGACTGGTAACCTAATTACATGTTAATTATGTTTGGAGCTACATGGTAACCCCAGCTACAAATCCCATGTAATCAGAAGGACATGTAATCACTAGTTAAGTACAGAGTAATGTATATAATTGTTTATGCCCTGTAAATCGAAGTGTAACCAAATAATCTGTAAACACGCTTGTCACACAATCACAAGTGAATATTAGTAGAATAACAATTTCTTACATTAGTCATGCATACTAACATTACATGCCTGCCACCTAGCAGGCTCTCTTTTTTTCTTTAAATATAATTTAAAAGAGCAGACACATTTCTGCATCAAACACCTAACATCAATTTGTTCTTAATAATAAAAATGGCTAAACATTCACCAAAAACGTCTGCATTTGTGTATAATTTTTAAAAACTTAGTAAGAAGCGGTAGACAATTCTGATGTTTCTTTACTTTTAAATTTCTACACTATATTTATGCATTTAAATTTCATGGGTCTAAAGACAGTGTCATTTGTCACTTTCATGCTTTTTCTTCTTTAATTCTCAACTTTACATATACTATTTTTCTTAAATTATATGTACACCAAATACCTGGTGCTGGGCTAAGATGTTTAAGCAACATGCTTTCTTTTCTCTGCAGATTCTAAAATAGCATTGCCAGTGCACAACATCCATAATTCAAAATGTATGCAGAGCACTGAAATGTATAAAAAGCAGAATATAAGAAAATAAAATTTATTAAAATTATTTATATTAAAAAATGAAGTATATGAAGATCTCTCAGTAATAAAAGTACAAAAAGCTACTCTTTGCAATATGAAAAATTGAGGTATTGCATAAAGAGATATCCCGTCAGTGAAAAGTGTGCCTAAAAATGCTCACTGTTGGAAAAACAAGATATACAAAAGTAGTGCATAACAAATATACATTATGTGCATGACAAAATAAGTTAGCTACAAAAACACTGTACCGAAATTCAGCAGGTCATGTACAAAGGGAAAATTATTATTCAAAGCTAGTTCTCAAACAGTGTTATTTCTTGTAATGGTAACCCATCTCACCTGTTTACTGGGTAGGATCGGCACAATAGCACACCCCAAGCCACCTACAAGCATTAAAAAAATTAAAGGAACATTCCAACTATAATTATGTACTTCAGAGAAAAAAAAGTCCCTGACAATCTACACAAGAGCACTCTGCATTTGCATTACTGTTGTCAATATTTTCAGGGATTTCATTAAAAGCAGCTCCCTTTCTATACTTGACTAGTAGACAGCAAATGTCTCCATTTTGACCTTTGGAACTTGGTAAGGTACAGTTCATTAAAGCCTGTATTGAAAATAAAAACTGCTTCTCATAAAGATAATCTGGGCTGGGGGAAGGGGATGAGGGGGGCCGACGAAGGCTTTTAAGTGAGCAGATGTTTTCCGAGCAGTGCTGAGGCAAGTCTTTGGTTTGAGAGATTCTAAGATGGTACCGTGCCACTTGGGCACTTCAGAAGATTGCCACCGAATGTGTTTGTTTGCACACTGCTAAATAATCATTTGAGAAGTTGGCCAGGGCATTAGTTCAAAAGGAATAAAAAATAAATTTTCAGAACTACTCCTTCATTCAACTATTTCAAACTAAACCCCTGCACCCACTCTTGACCATTCAATTAACATGTACTGTGTTAATGCTTCTCAAGGTAGAACTTATTTATAATAAAGCAGGCATTAACTTAGCAATGTTGGCACTTCAAATACCTGTGTTTCTTTATTTCTCCATATTAAGTTCTGAAGAGGTGGAATCTCAGTTAGGATTCTTTCTACAGGAAGAGTAAGAAAGGCATATGCACACTTGCACCATTTCATGCACAAATTCAGAAAATAGTGCAAAACAAGACTTGGAAACTACTTAGGTTCATGCCTTCTGTTACAACTAAGCTAGAGGGTATTTGAAACTAACTTTACATCCAAGATGGGAAGCAAATAAGCAGCCAATTTTAATTTGTGTGACACAATGGAATATCAAAACTTCGGTAAAAATCAGTGATATCCTTGAGGTATCTTTAGGTTTTCTACTTTTTCACGTCAAAATGGAGAGCAAAGGCTGGCCCCTGATGAATGTTAGTATATTAGGATATAGAGTTATATATAGCCATCAAAAATAAAATCTATATATTTATCCTTCAGGAGAGGAAATGCCAGTTAACTAGTTGTCATTACTCTAGCTTTGGTAGGATTTCTAGGGCTGTAACCAGACAATTGAGTTCTCTTAAAGAAAAAAAAAAGTGCACTCCCCCCTCAGTAGTAACTTTACTCAACTTTTACATTCAGGAATTCTTAAAATGTAATCATTTTGATGAAAATATAGTAAGCTCTGCCTATCTCATTAGCAATTTGGATGTGGGTGGTAGTCAGAGGCACAGTCAAATACACACTGAGCTAGAGTTTTAGCCTCAAAACCCTTAACAGATTAAATAAAGGAAAAAAAAATTCATTGTTATAATGCTGCTTCAACTTTGCTCATGCATTTGTGTTGCTTTAAACATGCTCTTTTCTGTTGGTAGGTAAATGCAAACTTCATCTGTTGCTGGAAAACTACGAAGTCGAAACAAAAAGAGAGGCAAAAACAGGCTTCCCTGGGGGAAAAGTGTCAGAACAGACTGATAGTGTTACTGTTACATGGTTATTTTAATAAAAGTATTCTTATGTTCTTTATTAACAATAATTTAATTAAAAAACCAAAATACTCTATTGTTTCAATTCTCTTTTCTTAATATTTTTCTCTCCTCTAAGAAAATGTTGCATGAAATTAAGTGTTCTCTTGGTAGTAAAGACAAGAGAATGCAACTCACTTGCAACATGTTATCGATACGAAAAGGAGTTCCCAATACAGTTTTCAATGACAAGATTCTACAAAATACCCATATTATAGGTCATTCTTTCATTATACTATTGTTAAATTACAGACTACTACAAAAGGGCATGCTATCTTGAATAAGAGAAAGGGTAGGGAGGGGAAGGGACAATCAGGATAACAGAAGAGTGCACTTAATTTGAGGCCTGCATATGAGCACTGCAGTGATCATTTAGTTCCAGCGGAATGAAATATGTCTTGGGCGATCTCCTCCCTCCTTCACCAGGGGCTTGTGGAATTCCCTGCCAGCACGTGAATGGATAGCAGCCCAGCAATATTCACAGTAATACTGCAGACAGGTAACGTTAGCACAGAAAAATGGAGCAAATTTTCCACCGCAACGGGCCCCCTGACATTCATCACAAAGCTGATCATCCAAGACATATGGCTTAACTTCCACCTGTATTCAGAAAATGAGAAGAAAAGTTTACAATTCTTAATAACAATGCAGATAATGACAATTCCACACTATTTACTGTCTGTGTTCTAGCAGGACTGTGATCACAGTTCTGTAGGAGGACACATCACACTCTCATTACACATCACACTCTCATTACACATGATCATCACCATTAACCAACCAGAACTACAGGCACTTGAGAACAACCTGCACCCACCATCCTCCTTGATCCTTAAAACAAAAAACAAAACAGAAACCACTGCTGACCACCATGCTGCCACTGATATATAGAAAGGATCAATCAACCTATTATTACAGAACTGATAAACAGACTCACATCAAATCCCTGGGCATTTATTTGCAAGTATGGTGATGTGCAGTTAAGCTCCTACCCTTTCAGGTAGGAATGTAAACTGTTTACCCAACACCAACTGCAGATTAAATATGCATGTGGTCTGCAAATTTCAATCCCTGATTTTCCATCTTTAAAAAAAAAAAAAGAAGTCATTTATTATCTTCATAAACAGCACATTTATGCTTTCTTTTTATGTGGCTTAGTCTTCTCAGTGAAAGGAAACCCACCTAATCTTGTTGGGATCAAATGAGCAGCTGAACAGGGGACCGATGCCCACCTACGCTGCTGGCAGTAATGGCCAGATGATGAGCAGTAATTCAGTACAGCAGACAAGAAAGGAGAAGAAAAATTTTATCAAGCTCTTAACTGATCATGACTCACAGGAACTTACCAGCTGGTGCTCCAACCATACATCTACACTGCAACATCTGCAGGATACTAGCTTTTAATATAGCCATTTGCATACCAAAACCAAGCCTGCTACACTGTGGGCTACAACCCCTGCTCACAGCACTCCAGAGTGCTTTCTCTGTGACAGCTTTAAAGCAAAGCTTCCTGCTTGCTGTATCCAAGCTGGCTACAGCACAGCTCGTTTAGACATGCCTACATGTTTAAATCACAACTGCAGCACTGCTACCCCCTAAAGGCTCAGATTCACCTCAAAACCAGTCATCACCTCCATTCCCTAGCTCCACAGAACTGCAAAAGTGTGACATATCAGAAGCACAATACGAAGCCTCAAGCTAAGAAATACAGGTACGAGTTCCTCTTCTAGAAATGTTTATGAGCCTTCTCTAAAGCTCATTTAATTAGATGTTTTCACAAACATTTCCAAATACACAGACTGCAAGTTATGTCTTCACTGTTCAACCTGTTATCTCTGCATCAGGCTTTGGGATGCTCCTTTCTGTATCTCACAGCCTCAGAAGTATGTCAGGACAGCTCATTCAACTAAGGACACTCACAGGTTTCCTGTGATTCTAAACTTACCCAATTTTATCACAGTTCAGCCACAGCACTGGAGTAGTTTGATGCCATTTATGCTCACAATACATATAAACTACCTGGAGACAGTACAGCAGCCTTTTTAAACCAGTTTTTCTCCTCTTCCACCGCTAGAGTTGTTTCTCAAACACCCTCCTCCATGCCAACTAGGAGGAATGAATTTGTGAAAGAGCAGAGGCAGACATATATTCCTAACACCACATTCTCCTTTCATCACCTAGTTTTCTATGTAGTTTAAGGCTGGGTATTTATTGATGAGTGTTGTCTTCTACAAGTGCTAAGAGAAGAACCTATAAAGATGCTATGTAGGGCTCCTTAATGTGGCAATTCTGCTGCTGTATTATGTTTACTCAGACACATTCACAGGCTGAACTACAGCACAGGTAATTATACCTCTGCTTGCTTTAGCCTGTTACTGCAGCACTGGGTTTTGTGCAAGATATTAGTCAGAGTCGTCAGCACATTTATTCAGTGTGTGCTGAAGTGCAAGTGCCAAATACAGCCTGCAACTGTTACTTGTGGTAGTTACAGCAAGATTTCCCAGCTACAGAGGAAAAGCTTAAACTACAGCAACTTCATCAGGCACGCTTAGGGTGGCAGCACTCATCAGCTCTGCAGTGCTGCGTGCTGCAGGGCACCCAGCATTTAAGTTGCATTATCTCTTTGCAGGGCACAGTCTTCAGCAGCACCTCCCCCCGCCTAATTGTACAGGAAACCCCTTCTTGTTACTACTTTTGGTTTTATTTTTACAGAAAAACTTTGTTAGAAATATGATTAATAGTACCTTATTAATAAAAAGTAGTATTGCCACTGTTGTACTTTTATGTCCCTCATGCACCCAACCCCTCCTCCAATGTATCTTCTAAGCAATTACCTCCCCGTATTTCTTCTGAACTTCACTCAAAATGAGGAAATGACTCGGGAGGAGAGAAGGAAGGGGAAATAGATTGCAAAATCTTGCTAGAGTTCACAAGTACTTACTCAAATTTGTAGTTCCACCAGCTTCAATGGACCTATTCACCCAAGTGTCTGCTTATGCAAGCAGAAGTTGCACAAGGGCGGCCCAAATTATTTGTTCAAAGCTGTACAGAACTTATTTCAGAGCCAAGATTAGAACAAAGACATTCCAATTCGCAAGCCCACAGTCAAATTGTTGTTACAATTCTTCTACCCAAGCTTTATAGCCAAAGCAGAAGTGAAATAATCATCAGTCAGGTTTGGGTTTTTTCCTCTGTAGTAATCACAAAATTAAGATCAATAATGACAGTCGTGGAAGAAAAATCCAGAGACAAAGCATGAATGAGAACAGTAGATTTAAGGATCTGACTTTCTCCTAACTGTGGCCTGAAGATCACTGTAGTTGGCAAAGTCACATTTTATATAGATGACGAATGCAGAGGCAAGCAAGCCGCAGATCCATTTGGCAGATTCCTTTAATTTATGATAATGAAGGCATAAAATAACCAGACACAGCCTTTACATAAGCCACAGAGGATGACTGCGAGGCTGTATTGTGCACTAACGAGTTCACAATGCACTGCTATGATGCTCTTAAGAACACCCAGCACACAATGTGTAACACTGGGGCCAGATTCTGCCTACTCTCTCAAAAGATGCAGAACAGGAGTAAGAACCGCTCCATCCTGGGCAGACACCTTACTCCCTCCCATTGTACAAACACTACAAGTGCAAATACTTGCAGCGGGAGTATATGATGAGAGCTATATTCTTATAAAAGGGCAAGGCAGCTGACATGCTTCCCATTATGCTAAGCAATTTGAGCAAGTCTGCTTCACAGTTGCCTCCCACATTCCAGAAGCACCACTCCTTCATTTTTATTCTGTGTTGTATCTAAGTGGCACAATCTAGCCCTAAATATGCAATTAATCTGATATAACATTTACAGTCTTCACAATGACACACATTTACATGGAAAAGCATTTCTAGAGAAAGCACTGAACAAAAATAGGACATGCTTGAAGACCTTACCCGTTTATCTATCTCTCCATGCTGCAGCTGAACAAAGCGAGCACTGATAGCAGCTATGTAACTCTGTTGATTAGAAAACGCAACCCGCCCAGCTCCTTTTGGGTACTTCAGCTCAGGGTCTGTGTCAATTCCAGCATAGCACACCCCTCCATACAGCCGATCCATTATCATCGCAAGTTCCACTAAACCAGAAAGGAAAATCAAACAGTGGTGTAAGGCTTGGCAATTTTGTCTAAAAGCACCAAATGACAGTCCAGTTGTATTCATGTCCCCCGCTATAAGTGTCAAGAACACTTAATACTTCCCTTGCTGAAATAACTTGTTTCCCCCATTGCTCCCCAAATCAGACTGCATATTCAACATGCCCAGTGCTGCGGAACACGCAGTGTACCTGCTCGTAAAGGCCGAGGAACACCACCAACAAAAATGGTTTTTCGTGGGTCAAGAGGCTGTGAACCATCCATAACAAAATCACTATCACTAAGGTTCCAAGGCCGGATCTGAACCTATGGACAAAAAGCCTTTTTTTTTAACCATTCACAATTCAAAGTATCTCAGTAATATAAATTAAAACAGCATCCTACAAAGAAAACCTCTTAAACGGCTGTGCTTTCTAAACTTGTCTTGTGCTTGTTCAGCAATCATTTCTCAAAATGAAATGGTAATAAGCTCTGTTAAGACAGACCACTTGATCATACTGAATTTCACCACTTCCTTGTTACCCAAATTTCTGGGAAAAAAAAACAACTTGCCCTCTACTTACACATTTTCTTAATCATGACTGAACTGTGCTGTATGAAGCACACTGGTGCATTCGTATCTACGCTACTCGCGTTGTTCTGGCCAAGTGTAAGCACTAGACTAGCCTTATCTCAATGCAACAGGCTCCAGTGCACAAAGTGGTGTGTTTATTTACTATGCAAAACTAGCTGCTTTTCTATTTGCCTACAGCTGGCCAAATTTGAACTATATGAATAGAGCAGGTCTCCAACTGTTAACAGACTTGCATCAGCCTCAAAACCATTCATACTTAAAATTTACAGTTCAGTGTCATGTGATGGATTTGTCTCTGTCAAAACATGTTACATACAATACTCAGGCAATATGAATTCTGTATTTTAATCAATAATAAGCATAAAATACTTGTCTGGAAATATATTTATTACATCAGCAATGCTGAAATTTAGCAACCCTTTTTCTAACGAAAGTATGAACTGTAATTAGACTAAAAAATTTCATCATGTCTAGTTTAAAAATAAGTTGGTCTTCTCTTTGAGGACTTAATTTGACACCTTAAAGGAATTCAAACATTAGCATTCTGAAGACAGAAGAAAAGGAAAAAAAGCATTTGAAGAGAACAATTTCTGATTATTGTGCAGGCCCTGACAATTCTACCTACCGGTTTGTCTTTGATAGTGGGGCTGGAAACACAAAGGTAGAGCTTTCCATCTTCTTCAATACATGCATCAATCAGTGCCTGTACAGAGCTTTCATCTTGGAAGAGCAAAAATGCATATCCTATAAAAAGGAAAACAAGCACATAACTTCTTTTGCCTGTTTGCCTATAAGATAATAATTTAACCCAGAATTATGCTTGGCACCATGTCATCATGCTGCCATACAGTAAGGGACAAACTTTAAGGTGCCCTCACACATTTCCAACCCAGCCTCCTGCAAGTCCTCTGCAGAGACATGAAGAAAAGCTTGCTGATAAGCACAACCTCTCCCAATTTCCTTTGAAAAGGATAAGCCAGCAGTATGGACTGAACAAAAGTCACAGCTGTAGACACAAACCTGCCAGGTTGGTTGCTAATATAAGGCATAAATCCTTCCCAACTCCTGTGGAGGGTGTTTAGTCCCTTGAAAGAAGACTAGTATTGACTATTATTACAAAAATGAACAACAACATGGGGAGAAAAAGAACCATAGACAAGGTATAAACCTTATAAGCAATAAGTTAAGGAATTATTCTTGTGGTGCTGAATACTGCAAAGCACCATTCTAAATTCCACCAGTTCATAACAATCCCAAGGATTCAACTTTTTTTCTCCTAAACATTGGGTCACTGTCACAAAAAGCTTGTCTAAAATGAAGTCTTACCAGGGAAAATGATTCTAAACTGCTTGTGTATTACTGGTTACCAGATATTTACCTTTAGGAGGAAAATAGGATTTGCTCTCTGCCTTGTGTGGCCAGTCTACAATCAAAGGTCCAAAGCGACGAAAACTAGCAGTGATCTCATCTGTGAAGAGACAAAGGAAAAGGCACAAACTAGAGTTAAAATAGATTGTATGGAAGACATTTGAAGAACACTGATTTCAGGCAGCTTCATCCTATGATTTAACATTCTGTGACCAGCAGATGTGCGGCAGCTCACAGCAACACTTACTGGCTGATGGGGCATTTTTACAACAAGTCAGAACAAAAATTAGAAAACATGACAGGTCAAAGATCCAGGTTTTCTTTCTACCAGTTACTATAAATAACAACTCATAACCCACTAATTCACAGAAATGGAGTCACTATCTATACAGCTATGCCAAACCCAGCTTCAAGCAGTCTTCCACAAGAAGTCTAGAGACAATTTGCTGATTTGCTAGTGAGCAAGCATTTGCTACAAGCAATATGCCTTGTAACTGCAGAAACACTGGAAAAGAAAGAATGGACTATCACAAGATCCAGCCATGCCTGTTCACATCACATGCTGGTACCACATGTTCAAACACAAGGCGACCTTGACCTCAAACTAACATAGAGTAAACTTGCAGGACAGTTACATAATTTTGTAGGAGAGATGGCAAGAACATATTACTGCATCAAGAAGCAACTCTTGCACCCATTTCAGTTCTGCCTCTGACACCTCCAATTACTGGTATAACTTTGCATATGCTAGTCCCATTCAAGTCTTCTAGTTGCAGTTCTGTTCTTGATATTGAGTGAGTATTCCCTTTTCCTTCTCCACAAACACACATGAACCATCGCTGAAGTTCTCTGGGCATGCGTTTTTCATTAAAAAAATGAAACAAAAGAACAAACTTCACATTGTGGAGCAGCATCTAATCTGGCACAGTGTTCAACTGCATTCTGCTCATGGTGTTACAGGGCTTTCTATACTAGCATGCTGCTGGGGGCTCCTAATACACAATTGAGAAGACTTTCCCCATCCTCAAATTCAGTTAGAAATCTGAAAAGGTGTTGCTAAGCATGTCTTTTTTGGTTTGCTTACACTCTGATGACATTGCTAATGAAACAGCAACTGACAATCCACTGTATTTACTGTGCCACAGAAACTTTATAAAACTACTAGCCATACTTTTCCTACTACTGGCTATAAGTCCCTATACAATGATTGCAGCGTAGCTGTAAGTTTCAACGGGTGATATGGTTTATATTTGCACCATATACTGTAGAAGTCAGTTAAATGTGTGGTAACACGATTTTGTTCAACAGCAGAACAATAGCTAAACTAGCTTGAATTATCTCATATTTGCCATGGATTGAAGGTGATAATATGAGAAATCCATTTACATATCGAAACCTTTCCACAGAGTTAGGAAAACAATCATTCAGGAGTTACAAAACAAAAGGTTTCACACCATGGTTTTCTCAAGAGGGCAGAAGCAGCTTTTCTGGGTAAGTTTTTCTCAGCATACCTTCATCAATATCTGGTGGCAGTCCCCCAACAAAGACTTTACGGGAATACCGTTCCACTCTTTCTCCATTCTGATGGGAGAAGCAGTGAGGTGATCCTAAACCACTGTGAAGAGTCTGATCGCCACGTCCATCATCCAAGAACCCGTCTTCCATTGGAAACAGTGAAGACTGACCTGAAGAGGGGGTTAAAAAAAAACAAAGGAAAAAAGCATACTAACAGAACAAAGCACACACTATTTAAATATTTAAAAGTTGCTGCATTAGCAGTAGAACTGTTTGCAATCCTCCCCTTCAATAAGCAGTTATGTTCCCAATTTCACATGACCCTTCTAGTTTTCAGTATCCCTCAGTAACTCAAATGCGTTATTTCAAAGAAAAGGTTGCTACCTGCTTCATAACTGCACTACAACTGATGAAGATTTGAAACAAAACAGTATTTCTAATGGTTGCTCAAGTTGACCATTTTCTATAACACTTCATGTTTCCAATTAGATTTCTTTTAATAAGGTGTAAGAAAGAAGAGAATATAAGCCATTTTATTCCCCTGGGACTTTCCCAACAGCAGACATCACTAAAACTTAAACCATATATGTAACTTTCCAGTGAACAGCTTCTCACAATGGGTAGATAGAATTTCATCGTGCAGATGGGAAAACAAGAATTATACCAGCCGAATGTATCACACATTTAAATTACTTGATATCAAAACATACCATAAACCACCCACTTGTTAATAACAAAAATAACTTGGTAAAACCAGGAAGATCCACTGTAATTTACTGCAAATGAAGACTGAAAACTAGGCAATATTGTGTCATTCCTAGAAGCAAGTTTACTTAGATGTTACAACAGAGTTTCGTTAATAGACTCACTCTAAGCCAAAATGTTGTAAGCATATTTCCCCTCACAGCCCAATAGTCTCCTATGATAATCCTTCAGCATACATTTCCTCACTAATATTTTAAATAAGATATTTTATTTGTAAATGCAACTGAATAATACCATAAACAGAGCACACAAGCTGATCTCTCCCATGAATTTACCCTTTAGCTACAGTATTCAGTATCTCGACAACAAACTGAATAGACTTCTCATTTAAGGAGCATTTTTTGAATAAATAAATATATATAGGGAAAGTAAGCAAGTAAGTGATGTGTGCTACAAGTTTTAGGATACATTTCCTTTTGCCTATGATGTGACACACTATGCTTCTTTTTCAGCATTCATTACAATCTACCACAGTAATGTATTGGTAAGGTTAATTTCTCCTGCTCTTGCTTCCTTCCTTTGAAATAAATTGATTAAAAATAAAATAAAATCTAGAAAACAAAAAATCTGATCTGTTCCAATATCCGGACATTTTCCATGAAAAAAAAAAAAAACCAACAAAAAAACAACAAAAAAAAACAAACAACCCAAACCAAAAACCAAACTGCAAAATCAAAGAGCTAACAACTTGAAATAAAAAAAACCCAAACCAATAAAGTCCATAGAATTTATGCAAATAAAAAAGGAAGGCTTGGTCAGCTCACTTTGTTTGAGATTTCAACAATCTTTGTATAACTTTAATTCAAATAAAAATCAGCTATAATCAGGCCTATTTCTGTAGCGAGGCAAACCTGATTCCTACCATGATCAAAATATTATAATATAGACTTAAACGTCATTTTGTTTCCCCCCACTGAACTGATGCACATGTCTTTTGTTTCATCTCTTTAAGACCCCAATCCTGCAGGTATTGTTGGAAGGGAGCAATTCTCCATACCTAGACAACCTTTTCAGGTTCATCAGCATTATCACCGCTGTTAGATGATTCAACACGCATGCTTGCAGGATCTGGTTCTTTAACCTAGTAGGCCAGGACATATATTCACTACAGTCTATGCTTCATCAAGAAAACCAACAGCACTCGAAAGAACCAAAATAAACTCCAGCATTGACAGTCATAACATACACACAAACACAACGCAGCCCTCTCCAATGTAACAAATCATATAGATGATGTCCACTGTAAGGATTGTGATCATTGCAGCCTCAATAGTACTACTGTGGAGTACTACCTAATTCAGTTCAAATGTTTATTTATAGCATGCAAACTATGTCAACGTATGTGAAACTGATCCTTTATAATCTTAAAATTTCAGAGTTTGCCCTCTAGTAACAACTTAATGTTATTTCTCCCATGAGACATTGTCAACATTAGAAAATTAAATAGGAATATTGTTACCTCGCCTTCTCCCATATGTCCTTGCTGCATGTTAAATGAGAAAGAAAACAGCCTTTCAATCATTGTTATAAGGACCAAAAGACCTTGTTTTATTGCCTTTATACTAACTCAGTGATTCTTAAGCCTTTTCATACTTAAGGTCATTTAAAATGGTGTTCACAAGCTGACCTTCCCCACCACCCACAATACCATGCCATCCTTGCACCACCTCTGCTACTGATAAAACACGTGGATGACAAAGCATGTATGTATACTCAGAGGCTTTTAAAAAAACAATCTTAGTTCCTGATTTGCACATTTATGTTTCAATCTATTCCTTAACCCTCTGCTGGGTGTATGACCGTAAGTAAATGGATCTTTTCTCATGCACCAGGTCTCCTGGCTCATTCTGCAAAGCACCACACTCTACCTTGCCAAGTTCAAGCACACTCTAACACTGATCTTCACCTGAACCATAGGCAAAGCCCTAACACAAGGAAATTGAAGGACTATTGTCTTAATTTCTCCTTTGAAATTAAGTTGCTATAAAAGCTTTGTACCACACACAAAATCTCTGGTTAAATTATTACTGGCAAATAATTAGCCAAAAAACTTAAAAGTCAAGGAGAAAACGTCTGGACCACCAAAATTGCCTTTCAGCCCTCCTGCAGTCTGTGTACAACAGTACAAATTCTCTCATACTAATTTAGTACACTTTGTTGTAACTATTCAACAGTTATCCACTGCTTCTGACTTCTTGTTTTCCAAAACAAATCAGTTCTACCACTGAAAACCACATTTTTCTTTGCTGGCTTCCAGAACCCATTGTCAGAGTATGTCCAAGCTTTCTAATCAACCTTGCACATTCTTTCTCTTTTAATCTCATTAAAATCTGTGTCTGAAAGCAGGCCAACTGTTTTCAAAACTTGGGTTCTCCTGGCAAGTGCTATGAGAAACTCTGAGCACATCATGCATTTTATTTTGCTTCCTTATTCAAAACTGAGACTGACAACTCAGCATTTCAATATTAGTAAACCACAACAACAAAGGAGTAATTTCCTCTTTCAAAATAAAAACTGTATCAATCCAATTTGCTTAATGATTATTTAACATCTGTACATCCCTTTTATTCTCTGATCTTTTGCTGATAGAGATACACACAATTAGCACCAAGAATACAAAATAACAACACCCTAGTCTTCAGACTGGAGCATACTCTTCAGAGTTCACACATGCACTGGCTTTATGGGAGAATATTAAAGGCTAAAGGCCTTTACAATAGTTCTTTCGGGGTCATTTTGATTTAGAAATTTAAGATGCACATATAGTCCTCAAAGCAAAAAGTTTTAAGGAACTTGTTTCTCATGGAAAGCAATCAGCACATCTCACTGCATTCCTGACAAAGCTCAGAAGCCTCTGCAGGCATGTTTTAGAAAACATTAAGCACTTTCAAAAACAGCTCTGCCTACAAAACCATAAAAATCCTGCTTGTGGTTTCTAAATTACTAACAAAACCACACGAACGCCTTCACTTGGTACACCCATTCTTGGCAACAAAGCATGCAGCACAGATACGGTTCCCACTGCGGATCTGTGACCACAATTTAGGTCAGCAGGCTCCTCGCTGCTTTGCCACCTGTGTCACTCAAGGCAATAGGATTTTTCTCCTTTACCAGTGCGGAAAATGACAAAAAAAGCTCAGCCACCAGCTAGGAAGCATTTGCAGTGCCAAATACTACTGAAGAGGTTTTGAGAACTAAATACTAAGATTTTTTTTTTCTTCTTAATTTGCTTGTTTTTCTGCATTTGCTTCATCTAACCCACAAAATACCAACATCTGACATTTCAAAACACTTCTCAGAAGCCACAGTTTATAAACTACCCCAGTACAGCACAGATACAAACTTTCTCTGCTCATTGAATTCAGAGCTCATCACACACCATTAATTTCACACAATGTAATACACAACATGGAAACTAAAGAATGTTCTTTTGGCAGGCCAGGAAGACAGCTAACTGTGATTTACCAATCCTGTCTCCGGCTTTCATACTTTCATATTAAGAGACATCTTTGCTACAGGAGCACCCTAGATAAGCTGCAACATAAATGCAGTCTTAAGGTAACTATTATGTTACAAAACCTAAAAAACACAGAGTTTATGCAACTGGTTCAATTGCTCATTAATAACCTATGGAGAGATATTTTCCAATAAAATCAGTTTGAAATTTAAAATGCTGTTAGCAGCTGCTTCAATTATTTTGTCACCTCAGCCCTCCCTGCACCACTCGTTTCTATGGCAAAAAATAAATCCATACAGAAAGCCAATGATCTGCAAAAATCTGCTCCTTTTGCTGTCTTTCATTTTAAGGAACTTGGTGAATAAGCAGCCCACTCAAATTCTTGTGCCTTCTCTTCATATGAGACATGTAATGGGCTCATGGCCATCTCCCTCTCTCTGTTTTAAAAGATCACATCTTTTGTGTTTAACATGCCTCCAATTAAACGTGTTGAGCTTTCTTCTCTCTATAGGAAGCATCAAAAAGACTGTCAGCACATTGTGTAAATCACATGTGCCATTCTATAAAGCACACAGTTCCCAATGACAATGATATTCTGCTGGAGAAGCAGGAAAAATGTATGCAGGAGTCCTGAATCACTCAAACCCTAAACTTACAACAACCTTGTCCTGGAAATGCTCTTTAATTGTTCTTGCTACCTTCCAATCTGCAGGATGGTAGCAGCAATTTCAGGTGTATTTTGTGCCATTAACTGGAAGATTTACATAAAAAGGTCAGCTCAAGACTAGACTGTTTAAAGGCACCAGCAAGCCAGAAAATCTGTATCTCCTGTGAACATCATCCCAGCTTTCTAAGGCCGCATCACATTTAGGAGAATTATACAAGCATACATAGTTAGAATTAATAGAAAGATCACAGAACCCTGGAATGGACAGACCAACTGAATGCTCAAAGTTAAACTACAGTTGTACCTTCATTCTCACTACCCTGCTATGGTTGTTTTACAGCACACAAAGCCTAGGTTGATGTAATACCTGCCCAGTTCTGTACCTAATTCATGTCCTTACTCCCAAGAGCTCCTCAAGACAGGGATTTTGGCCTTTACCTTGACACAGAGGCAAAGATAGTAACACACTGTCGTCTTTTACCATGAATATACTCTCATTTATTTCCTTTCAAAGACCAAACCAAACCAGCTTCATCAGTGAGTTCCACAGTAGCCAGTTTCTTATGTTGAAAGGTAAACACAATCAGTACACAAACACAGAAACTGTTTACTCTGCTAGTCATTTTCTTCTCATAAACACAAGACAGGATGTAATTCGGTGCTGGTCTGTCTTCTGTTTCACTTAGGACTTAACTTCTGGAGAAGGAGAAGTACCAAAGTTTCACAGGGTTATTTCTAAATGTGAGCTAAATATCCCTGCATCTATTATAGAAAACATGTATGCTTTCATGAGCTTTATTTTTAAATTACAGAAAAGTAACTGAAGTACAATCTGGTTTTGCCATTCCAACAGCAAAGCCTTATTTGTAAATTATTCTACACTAAATCATATTTTGCAACTGTAGTAAGATTGACGATGCTGTGCACAAAGCCATTAATATATTACCTTTTCCCCCCCTGCTATTCCCTGAGGGCAGGTAGGGTTGATTGTAACTCAAGAGTTAGATTTTATCATCACCTCATGTTTCACAATGCCTTGCAAATGGAATGCATGGACCAGATGTTTCTACCACAGGTAACAGTACATTTCACAAGAAGTCCTGTAAGGTCATCACTAGTGAAGAATCAGACTGTATCCTGAACCAAACCAAAAGCAGAATACTGAAAATTATAAAGAACATCTATAATTAAACCTACCTTTGCTTAAATTAGATCTGTGCATGAGGGAGCAATTCAGAGACCAAGGCAGGTACTTTCAGAGGAGTACATATATACTTTCTCAAATTACAACACAGAAATCATATCTACCTATATGTATTATACACAAAAGTATTTCTTCCTATTTAATAGAGCCGTAAAGCTTAAGTCTTAGATGACATTTTCCACAGGAAAGCAATATAGCGTCATAAAATATTGCATGACAGGCAAAAAAGTAGTATTTTATGCGCTCCTTGATTTTAGTTCTAAAATATTGAGGACAGAAGGATCAGGCTACAGTTCCATGATTGCTGAAATAAGACACATCCATGTGTGCAAAACTTTTGCCCAGTTCAAGCCCATAATCTCATTTCTGCCAAATTATCCCCAGCACATGATACAGTGACTGTGGAACAACAGTCACTGCATGGCAGAGTGGTAGACTCGTGATACCTGATCCAGGATAAATTCTGCCAATGTAGAATAAATTGGTCAAAATGTAAAACATTCAAATAGTATTTTCTTAATCTAAAATAATCTTACAAAAATTAAACACCTCTATATATACATCTGGAGAATGTGTATTTGTCACACTTTTAGCAATGTCAAAGTCAGCATGAAACCAGAAAAGCAGACTACATTTGGCTGCACAGTAAAATCAAGGATTAACACATTTGGAAGTACTGATTCTGCAAAATTAAGCTGCAGAGATGCCAAAACCTGCATTTTTTCCCTCCTAATTTTAAAGAAGCACAATGTTTAAAAAAAAAAAAAGCATTTTATGAGAAATATAGCTCTAGTTTGTGTTCAAAATGTCCAAATAAATGGTGAAAAACAAGAGTACTATTGTAAATGCAAGTATTATGCTTTATTTCAAGTAAAACCAGATGCCTGAAGACAAGTATTTACCCATTCATTCTCTCAAGAACGCTAACAAAATGAAGTTTCTGGTACTCTGTAGCCTTTGAGTACAGGTCTGACTACAATCTGCATTTTAAATTCCAGGTGACTGTCACAAACTACAGGCAACATACAAAAAAACAATGAGGTTTCTTTTCTTCTAAAACCCTGAGGAGAATCCATGTACAAAAGCCTTTTAGCTCTGGCTCTTCTGAAAGTAACACTATTTTACCTGTGATTATGTTGAATTAATTGGGTTCACACGGTAAAAAGGTAGACCCTGCACATTGCACAAAGCAGATTATCAGCATAACAACTTCTAATAGTTTGATTGTTGACAACTTTAAACATCAAATAACGAGGGATGGCAGAGGGGGAGAGAAGCTGAGAAACAGTGAAAGCAAAAGCTACTGTTTCCAAGGCTTGTGCAATGAGCTCCAAGTTCTCAGGGTTTTAGTCTGCCCAAAGCAAAACTGCCTTACTGGAAAGATTATGCAGTTATACCCAGCAAATGCAGTAATGGCTCCCATTCCCATGCACTGCACAAACCCAGCTGTAGTGGCACCACTGCACAACCACGGCAGAACGGTAAAAACGTGCTTCCAACTCAGCCAGTCCAGGCCAGCATCGGTTCAAACCCACCTTTGTGAGATGCTCAAGCTTAACCTTCCAGATTGGGCAACCGAGACAAAAAGTCCCAGACATGCTTCCAGTGAGCTTTTTAAGCCTGAGTTTGAAGGGGAAATGGGGGGGGGGGGAAATAAAGAAAAAAAAAGCTACCTATGAAAAGATTGCAGTTCAGTTTGTGTGAGAGCTGTAAAAAACACCACCATTATTATTCCTTCCCTGCTGATGCTCTCGGGTAGTCTGCCACACTAACACAGTGCCGGGCAGACTGAACCTCAAGAGATGCTCTTTCATACATTTCAACAGGCACTTAACTACCCATTAAGGTGAACTACCCGTGAAAAGTGACAAACCAAACCCAGTCTCACTCCCCAGAAAAACACAGAAGCTTCAAAGCTGACTTTGAGGTTTGCTTTGCTATCGAACAGAAGATCACAGAGAAATCTCCTAAACAAACCTGCTATAGAACATGAACACAGCCACAGCTTTATCTACAAGGTATCAATACTTCTTCCTTAATTCCGATGATGTTACACTGGCTTACTGCAGATCCACTGAAGTGGAACCCTTCAGTATCACATGTATTTGAATATACCTCTTTTTCCTCCTCTAGGAACCCCCACAGGGTCAGAGATAAGAAACCAAAAGCAGAAGAGCAAATAACGGAACACAACCCTCTGCTGGAGACTGGATGTTAGCTGGAATTGTACATGTACTTAGGAAAAGCAGGCACCCTACTGCTGGTGCCATGGAGCTTTATTTCATGTTAATGTATGACTAGTGGGGAACAGACAGAAGTTACAAAAACATTCAATCTTTTCCATCAATACATCTTCCAGTTTATGCTATGGGATAATTGGCAGCATTTATCTTTTGAACACTTACACTATTACTATATTAATTTTAAAAATAGAAAATGAAAGGCAGAGTTTGCAACTAGGAGAAGGAAAAGCATTACACAGCTTTGCAAGCAAAGACCAAATCAGGTTTTCAGCCACAAAACTACTTCGAATGTGGTTAACTTCAGTAAATTCCAAATACATACTGATGATGGACCTTCTGACAGAAGGAAAGAATGGAATGTCATATGCTAAGAATTCCAAGACGGGATTTTTTAAGTGACAAGAACAATTTATTGAGCATATCATAGAATTTACTGAACAATTTCTGAAAACATCTGAAAAAAGAGCAAGAACTTCACAAACCTGCCATTCCCAGTCATGGTTCATATGCACTGTGCTCCTGAACTCTTTATACATAGCATTTCACCTCAGGAGATGCTGGTATCTGCCTATACTACCATACCTATACCATGAATTCTGCCCATGTGTTAATGAATAATGAAATGGTTAACTAAATAACCCAAAATGCAACTCCTGCATGTGCCTTGAAGAGCTGGATTTACACGGGCATATACTCCCATGCTGCAAGACTTAAACCCAGAGTTCCTTAAGTACAATAATAGGTTCAAAGCAACTTATTTTTGTCTGTGGAAGGAATGATCACAAGACAGCCTGGAATGCAACATGAGGGCTTTGTTCCTTTTTAAGCATCCTCTGACTTCACTCCCAAACAATAAGGAAACATTAACACAAGCAAGTCAACATTAAGCAAACTCAAGTCTCTGCAGTGAAGAATTTCTCAATTTTTCATTTTTACAGTAAAGAGCATAGAAAAGACATTAATTTTCCCAGTAATATATGTAAAAAAACCAGTACTATATACTTCCCCACACCCAATCCAAATGGGAAGAGAAACAGAAAACTCTGTTTTAAGAGTCAGCACTTCATTTCTTTGCCTAGATTCAAAATGATATATGGGGCCAGACACCAAACACTGTTTATTCTAGTTATTTCAACTGACACATGAAGAACCAAGACATTTTTTAGAATGCCTTCAGAAAGCTTTCCCCATCTCCCTCAGCACTTGTGCACACTAACAACAATATGAAGATTTGAATGTAACATTACTATGAGTTACTGGGAATTTATTAATGTATCACAAATTGGTTTATGTATTTATCCTCACATTCCACCCACAAAATTTATGTTTTTCTCATACCTATCCAATCTGACTGCTGAGCTGGGATTCTTATTAATAGGATTTCTAATTAAAGCTGAAGGGATACCACTACCTCTAAAGACACTTGCCATTTACATATTTAGAGACAGTATGTGGCTGTTCCACTCACCTGGAAGTCCAACTATCAACATTATAGTGGTGAAGAACAACAAACAAACAACGAACTAGCACCACAGCTGACCAATCTGCGTTCCAACAAACAGTACATTAAGCCAAGTATGGCTAAGTCTATTGCAAGGTGTATTTTCAGATTCACCTCAGCAGTAGTTCTCATCGTTCTACCTAATTCTGAACTAAAATAAATAGATTCTGCTTACACAAATCCTATATGCACATTTTGATCTCAAAATATCTGAAGTAATTGATGCAAATTTCAGGCTGTTGCACAGTTACTCTTGGGCATACGCAAAAACTGCCCACTACTAAAAACTGTTTCTGTATGACATACCTAGGAGTTTGTTCCCTTTTACGCTTACACCTCATCTGCCACCTCCTTATCTTTTCTCCAGACTCATCCCCCTTCTCTCGTTTCTTCTTTATCTCCAAGTTTAAGAAAAGCACTTCAGGCTTTTCCTTCTGCTCCTTTCATGCCACCTCTAGCCTGATAAAGACGATGGGAATATGCAAACTAGGGCTAACAAAAGGCTCAAAGAGTTAACAATTCAACATCAACGGAAAAAGTGAACAAAGTGAGCAAAAATACCAAATACAGGTAGTTTATGCAGTCTGAGAGGGGAGACTGGCGAGCTCTCTGTCTTCTAAAATAAGGAACAGACACTACTCATGGAATACAGCTCCAAATTAGAGTGCTTTGAAGATGATCCAGCATAGCCAGAGATTATCAAAGCAAGAATTCAGAAAAATTAAAAAACCAACAAAACCAAACCCACTTGGTGGACAGTGATATTAAACAAAGCAGATTAAACACACTTCTACAAAAAGGGGTGGGATTATTTTAAGACAGACAAAAAAAGGAAAGCAAGAAAACTTAGAAAGGTTTTAACTGGATCAGCAAGGCGGCTGTCATGGAATTCAGCACAGTTCTGTTGGCTGTAATACTTTTGAAGATCAAATCACTGATTCAGACATTAAAAGTTTTAGCAGTATTTCAATGCTTTGTTGTGTTTTAAAAATCTCTGCCACACAATCTGCAGCATACATTCCTAGGAAACAGCTTGTCTAAGGAGTATGAAAGGCATTTAATTTTCCATGCAGGCTCTGGAGATGGGACACATGGCAAGGGGCCTGCAAGAAATGTTTTAAGACTGGACAAAAAAAATGTAGGTCTCATACTCCAACGAAGCGAACAGGAATCCTAACACTG